GTTTATTTTAGGCTGGGTTCGGAAAAGCTTCCTATACGGGCAAGCCCCTATAGTTAATTACATCTTAAATGACCGAAGTCACCTAAGAAAACTCTCGATAAAAATCAGGGAATACTATCTTCAAAGAAGTCAAAAGGACAGGAGTTTTCAACGAAATCGGACGAAGAAGTGTGAAAGAGGAAAAACTCAAATCTGGAATATTGTTGAGGAATCTAAGTGAAGAGAAACTAGGGGAGGTCATAAATCCGGAGGCGAGCCTCGGTGACTTTCCAGTCTATCTTATGGTTTGACTTCAGTTCAATTTTATTTAATTAGGCTTATATTTATGTGACACGGTCACACGAATCGCCTGGAAGATATGAGGATTTATGTCGTATCAGACGACAACCTCGGAACCTAGAACTAGTTAGAGCTTAAATCGTACAGCAGAGCTATACAAATGCCTAAAGAAAAGGTGGAGGATTTATGTTGCGCTAGACAAACAACCTCGAAATCTTATGGATTGTTGTTTAATTTCTAGGAAAGAAATAGTTTTGCTGGGGAAGACATATTCTGCTGTTAAAGATGACTGTGCTGCCCACCGCGCTAGCTCCAAACTCCCCCGACGTGACGACTTTAAGTTTTTTAGGGTGTCCAGTTATAGTGTCAAATCAAACGACCCTATGATTGTAATCCTCTAAATATCCTATATAAAAAGGAAACATGCTTAAAACTATATAATGTAAAATGTGTAATGCAGGAATAAATAGGAGAATGCATGTGGAACAATAACAAGTAGAAACATGAACATTATAACATGCTATACAGGAAGAACAGTAGCAAGTAGAAAACAAGAATAACATGAACATTATAACATGCTATACAGGAAGAACAGTGGCAAGTAGAAAACAAGAATAGTATAACGTGCTGTACAGTACGGTAGCAGGTATGAACAGAAATAATATAACATGCTGTATAGGAAGAGCAATAGCAGGTAGAAAACAAGAGTAATATGACATGCTGTATAGTACAGTAGCGGGTAGGAACAGGAAAATAAAATACTGTAAAATGTAAAGCAAACCTGTACGCCCCGTGAGATCTGATGTTCCTTAAGTATAACAAGCCTAAATGCATCTCAAAAGCAAAGTATGGAAGAAACGTCGTCCAGGAAATCCGAGGAAGAGCAGAAAACTCGAGAAAATTAACGAGAAGAGACTCAAGTAAAAGAAAATTCTCAAACTCCTGGAGAAATCCTGAAAGAAAGGAAAAATAACACGAATGCCCTGTCCCAAAGCTTTGATAAAACAAAAACAACAAAAAAAAAAGTCGGGTGAGGGAGACCGCAAGCACTCATATGGGACTAGGCTCAGCTATATATTTATTCTCGAGGGTCCATAAAGGCTACTCGGTCACCCGAATGTATAGAACTCGCCACTCGTCTAGATAGGTGTCTTGAACCTCACTTAGGGGGCTATTTCCCAGCCTAAATAGGTATTCGTCAGGTGGACAACGAGCTTTAAAGTGTCTTATGTTTTTTAAACATGCATACAAATTTTAAACATACAAATAAGAGTTATCAATTTTATTTCGTAGAAAAGTATGTTTTTGCTTGAAAATGGTTTATCAACTTATATATATATATATATTAGAAATTTTTTGTTATATATATTAGAAATTTTTTGTTGTCCACGAGTTGATTACACTGTCGGGCATGAGACTGCCAATCAACTCCAACCACCTGAGGAGGTTCGAACCAACTCCCGCTAGACTTATGTCGGCGAATAATACCATATCTTATTGTTCATAAAATGCCTGGATCTTGATGTTATAGGATAGGGTATCTTTCTGC